AAAGGTTTAATTTAAGGGTTGTGTCCGTGTGTGTCACAGCCTGTCAGCGCGGCCGCCCGCCCTCTGTCACCAAACCTCTCCGGGATGTCCAGGGAATCCTGAACATTTCCTGGGATCCTCAGGGAACCCTGGATCTCTCTGGGATCCTCAGGGAACCCTGGATCTCTCTGGGATCCTCAGGGAATCCTGGATCTCTCCGGGATGCTCAGGGAATCCTGGATCTCTCTGGGATCCTCAGGGAATCCTGGATCTCTCTGGGATGCTCTGGGAATCCTGGATCTCTCTGGGATGCTCAGGGAATCCTGAACATTTCCTGGGATCCTCAGGGAATCCTGGATCTCTCTGGGATGCTCTGGGAATCCTGAACTTTTCCTGGGATGCTCAGGGAATCCTGGATCTCTCTGGGATCCTCAGGGAATCCTGGATCTCTCTGGGATCCTCAGGGAATCCTGAACTTTTCCTAGTTTTCTCAGGGAACCTGGATTTCTCTGGGATCCTCAGGGAATCCTGGATCTCCCTGTGGGAATGCTGGGGGCTCCCAGCTCCCCACAGTTCCCAGTGCAGGGACTGGAGCAGCGCTGATCACAGAACTTCCCAAAATCTGGAAGCAAATTCCATGTGGAAGCTTTCCCTGGAACCCTCAGCGACGGCTTCGAGAGGCTGAAGGGCTCTAAATTATCCCTCAGGAAGGAGATCCTGGGGATGGCTCAGGAAAAACGAGGCAGGAACAGCCGGGAAGGGCCTGGGGCAGGAGGGGAATGTTTGGGATATTCTGGGAATGCTCCTGTGACCTCTCCTGCCCGGATGGGAAGGGGTTGGATTGGGAATTTCCATGGAACCAGCCCTGTGTGGGAGGAAAACGAGCCAAAGCTCTGCAAATCACCACAAAAAAAAGAGGTGGCAGGGAGATAAATACCCAAAAATCAGCTTTTTCCTCCTCCCCACCCCCTTCCTGTCTGCAATGTTCTCATTTGCCGATGGAAATGTGGGATTTGGGAAGGGCGATCCGAAGGCACAGCCGGAGTTCAGCTCCTGCTGCAGCCCGGGGCCGCTGCCAGGCGCTGGAGCTGCTCCCAAAAATGCAGAGAGCTGCAGCCCAGCGTGGCTTAGGGGGATAAAAAACCTGGATTTTCCAGAGGGAAGGACAATCCAGCTGAAATTCCATCCCCCCCCCCACCCCAGTCCCGGATTTCTCCAGGGGCAGAGCTCAGCCAGCTTTTTCCCTCGTGGAATTGGAGCAATTCCAAATGCTCCAGGTTAACCCCATGGCCTGAGATTCAGGGATAAAATGAGATGGCCCCAGGGCTTCTGGGCTGAAAATCATGGATTTGAGGTTTCCAGGCTGAATGAAAATCATGGATTTGAGGCTTCTCATCTGAAAATTGTGGATTTGAGGTCTCCTAGTTGAAAATCAGGGATTTCAGGCTTCCTGACTGAAAATCAGGAAAATCTTTTTGGTTAAAAATCATGGATTTGAAGCTTTCTGGGCTGAAAATCGTGGATTTGAGGCTTCTTGTCTGAAAATTGTAGAATTGAGGCCTCCTGGTTGAAAATCGTGGATTTGAGGCTTCCTGACTGAAAATCAGGAAAATCTTTTTGGTTAAAAATCATGGGTTTGAAGTTTTCTGTTTGAAAATCATGGATTTGAGGCTTCCCACGTCCCGGAAGGTGCCACACACAGGGGACAAAGCTGCCACCTTTTGTGGTATTTGGAGGAGGCAGCTCCTGCGGGGCAGGGAGGGATGATCCTCATGGATTTCACTCCTGGATTTCACTCCTGATCCTGGCCATGGTCTGGGATGTCCCAGGAGGAGCTGGAAGTCACCCAGGAGCTGTCGCTGTTCCCAGCAGTGCCCACCCCTCTCCTGATTTTTCCAAGCCATGGAGGGAGAAATGTTGGGAAAATCCCTGGGGATTTATCCCGACAGGAATGAACCTTTGGAAAAGCCAAACTCCAAAAGCTGAATTTTGGAGAAGGGACCCAGCCAAGGGACCTGGGCACCTCCTCAGCCTCCAAAGCTCCCTTGGGATGGGATGTGCGATCCCTAGGGAGTGACTGTGGTATCCAAACCCCTCTGGAATGTGCAGTTTGTGGCAGAGAGGGCCAAACTCTGCTCCTTTTTCCAGGCTGGAGGCTGAGCCTGGAATGGGGAAGCCATCACCTTTTGTGGTATTTGTGCCACCCAGAGGCAGCTCCTGCGGGGCAGGGAGGGATGATCCTCATGGATTTCACTCCTGGATTTCACTCCTGATCCTGGCCATGGTCTGGGATGTCCCAGGAGGAGCTGGAAGTCACCCAGGAGCTGTCGCTGTTCCCAGCAGTGCCCACCCCTCTCCTGATTTTTCCAAGCCATGGAGGGAGAAATGTTGGGAAAATCCCTGGGGATTTATCCCGACAGGAATGAACCTTTGGAAAAGCCGAACTCCAAAAGCTGAATTTTGGAGAAGGGACCCAGCCAAGGGACCTGGGCACCTCCTCAGCCTCCAAAGCTCCCTTGGGATGGGATGTGCGATCCCTAGGGAGTGACTGTGGTATCCAAACCCCTCTGGAATGTGCAGTTTGTGGCAGAGAGGGCCAAACTCTGCTCCTTTTTCCAGGCTGGAGGCTGAGCCTGGAATGGGGAAGCCACAGGAACCTGTGGGAGCGTTTGGAGGGGGAAAACCACAACCAAAACAATTCCAGAGCTGAGACAACAATTCCAGAGCTGAGATGACAATTCCAGAGCTGAGACGACAATACCAGAGGCAAAACAACAATTCCAGAGCTGAGACAACAATTCCAGAGGCAAAACAACAATTCCAGAACTGAGACAACAATCCCAGGGCCTGGAAGCGGCCGGATGAGCACACCAGGCTGGTTTCCCAGCCCTCCTCATTAAAATGCAGCCGGAGAGAGGCAGAGAAGCACCGAGATAAGAGATAAGAGATAAGAGGCGGCTGCTGCCCCCGGGCTCCCCAGCCAGAGCCGAGCTCTCCGCTGCTCCCGGCTGCGTTTTTATCTCCCGGCTGCCTCCCAGACAAGCAGGAATAACAGGGATCACGTTATCGCCCTCCCTGCCCGCGGAGATGCAGGAGGATGGGAAAAAAAATTAAAATTAAAATCCCATCCCTGTGCACAAAACAAGGATTAAATGAGGAGAGAAATCGCTGGAAAAGGGAGTTTGGAGCAGATTCTGCTCATCCTGGTGGCTCCAAACCCTGCCCAGCCTGGCCTTGGACTCTTCCAGGGGTGGGAAAGCTGTGCCAGGGCCTTGCCACCCTCGCAGGGAAGGATTTCTTCCCAAAATCCCATCTAAACGGCCCCTCCTTCTGCTGGGAAAAGCTCCAAGCAAACGCTTCCAAAGCCGCTTTTCCTGAGCAAAAATCCCGGCTCAGACCTCGGCAGGGACTCGGCCAGGTGCTCCCTGACCCGTGGAAATGGTTTTTTTTAGGGAATAACATCCCGAAATGGCAGCTGGAGGCTGCTGTGAGGGACAGAGGGTGGCACACGATGGGGACGTGTGTGGGGACATCGCTGTCCCACGCTGTGTCACCCTTGGGTTGGTGTTGGGTTTAGGGGGCGAAGCTGCTGGAAAGGGGGGTGGGAATGGCCGGGTATCCCAGGAAAACCTTCCCATCCCAGGAAAACTTTCCCATCCCAGGAAAACTTTCCCATCCCAGGAAAACTTTCCCATCCCAGGAAAACTTTCCCATCCCAGGAAAACTTTCCTATCCCAGGAACAGCCTTATGATTCCAGGAAAACCCTCATATTTCAGGAAAACTCTCTTATTTCAGGAAGAGCTTCCTATCCCAAGAAAACCTTCCCATCCCAGGAACAGCCTTATAATTCCAGGAAAACCCTCATATTTCAGGAAAACTCTCTTATTTCAGGAAGAGCTTCCTATCCCAAGAAAACCTTCCCATCCCAGGAACAGCCTTATGATTCCAGGAAAACCCTCATATTTCAGGAAAACTCTCTTATTTCAGGAAGAGCTTCCTATCCCAAGAAAACCTTCCCATCCCAGGAACAGCCTCATCATTCCAGCAAAACTCTCATATTCCAGGAACAGCCTCGTATCCCAGGAAAACTTTCATATTCCAGGAACACCTTCCCATTCCAGGAACACCTTCCCATCCCAGGAAAACCCTCGTATTTCAGAAAAACTCTCATATTCCAGAAACACCTTCCCATCCCGGGAAAACTCTCCCATCCCAGGAAAACTCTCCCATCCCAGGAACAGCCTCGCACCCCAGAAAAACCCTCCCATCCCTGCAGCATCCTTTTCGGGAACACCCACCCCGCAACTGCCGAGCTCCAAAACCCCCCGGAATTTCCGAAAACGCCCCAAAAGCACGCAGTTCTCCCTGTGGCAGCTCCTCAATCCCATCTCCCGCCTCCAGCCCGGGGTTCCCGGAGCTCGGGGTTTCCATGGAGCCGCGGCGGCCGCGGGGCTCAGCCCGGGCATACAGATGAGGGGCGAGGGGGGGCGGTTGCCACGGTGCCGGCGACACTCGGGGCCCTTTGTCCCTCTATTTATTTCTCTTTTGTCCTTTTATTTATTTCTCTTTTGTCCTTTTATTTATTTCTCTTTTGTCCTTTTATTTATTTCTCTGTTGTCCTTTTATTTATTTCTCCTTTGTCCCTTTATTTATTTCTCTTTTGTCCTTTTATTTATTTCTCCTTTGTCCCTTTATTTATTTATTCCATTAAAAATAGGTTAGACAACGAACAGTACATGCTTAACAATTATCAACTATTTTACAACAGTTTCTAACCTATTTTTAACACTTCTTTGCCCCTCTATTTATTTCTCCTTTGAATCTTTATTTATTTCTTCTTTGTGCCTTCATTTCTCCTTAGTCCCTTTATTTATTTCTCATTTTCCCCTGTATTTCTCCATTATCCTTTTTTATTTCTAATTTCTGTCCCTTTATTTCTCTTTTATCCTTTTATTTTCTCATTTTTCCTTGTATTTCTCTTTTTTTTCCCCTGTATTTCTCCTTTCTCCCCTGTATTTATATTTTTTTTATATTTTTCCTTTTTCCCTGCATTTATTTCTCATGAATTTTAGTTTCCCCAAATCCACCATTTTCCCACAAGTTCCCATCCTGTGACTCACACAAACCCCTGGATTATCCCGTATCCAAGATTCCTCCCAGCCATCCATGCTGCAACCCTGCCCCGTGCTGGGAAAAACGAGATCAAATCCAATTATGGATAAAACCAGCAGAGCTGGGGGGCTTTTCCCTGGAAAATCAGGGTTGGAACCAGGCAGCTTTTCCAGCCTTTCCTTCACACCTCTAAGAAAAGAAACAAAACTCCCCCAAATTCCTCCATAATTTTTTTTTTAAAGGAGAAAAGATTCCCGAGATATTTGAACAGCTGGAAATTTTACATACCCGAAAACGCCGGAGCACTTAAAAGGAAAGGTGTGGATCCATCAGAGGGAAGCGGGAATCGATGGATCCATCCTTTCCTTTCATGCTGGTTCTGCAGGAGCTGCTTTAAAAGCAGCGGGGAAGGAGGGAAAAGAGCGGGATCGATCCAGGAGGAGTCGATGGGGAATAAACTCGGCTCAGGAGCCCTTTCCAGGGAGAGCACGGCGGAGATAAAACCAAAACTTTGCCTTTCTCGCTCTTTTAATGTTTTTTGTTTTGGTTTTTTGGGTTTTTGAGAGGCTTTTAAAGGAAGAAAAGGTTGGACTGGGGTCAGCGCGGGGCGGGAGAGCTGGAGGAAATCATGGAATCAAAGGCTGGATTGGGAGAGGAGCAGGAGATGCTGGGGGGTTCAAACCTGTCCCAGATCCCCCCTGAGAATTCCCGGTGTTTGGGGATGATTTTCCCTAAGGAATATCCCACTGGAGGGCTGCAAAAGGGGCTGGAGCTCCTGGGTGGGGGAAGCTGGAGCTGGGAGGATGAGGAGCAGGGAGCAGAGCCTGCAGGAAGATTATTCCCATGGATAATAATTATTCCCAAGTCCCACAGCTCTGGTTCTGCTCAGCCACAGATCCAGAAGCTGCTGCGGGTCCTGGGCAGATTCCATGGGATAATTCCTCCCAGATTTTCTGGGATGAGAGGGCACAGAAAATGCCATGGATATAAGGTGGAAATCATGGATTTGTTTCGGGGATCCTGGGAAGATTCCATGGGATAATTCCACTCAGATCCCACGGGATGGGAGGACACAGTTCAATCAGGGATATAAAGTGGAATTCATGGATTTGTTTGGAGGGTCCTGGGCAGATTCCATGGGATAATTCCACCCAGATTCTCAGGGATGGGAGGGCTCAGTGAATGCCATGGATATAAAATGGAATTCATGGATTTGCTGGGCAGTTTTGAGGGCACTGGGGGTCCCGGGCAGAGTCCTGGGGGTGCCATCCTCAGGTTTTTACCTCCCCAACCTGCCCCTTGTTCTCCACGAACCCAACCCCTCCTCTAACCCAACTCTGTAATTTTTCCAGGAATGACCTCGAGGAGGAGCCCAGAAGATGCAGCCGAGCATGAGAACGACTCCTTTGGGGGGGAAGAAGAGGCCCAGCTCTGACTGAGGTGCCCCCAGCACTTTGAGCTCCCATTTTGGGGGCACCAGGCCGGGGCCGACGCTCCCAGGGGCTCGCATGGATCATCCCCCACCACGGGCGCCGTCCCCACCTCACCATCACTGCTGTCACCCCGTGGCCAGCTCTGGATGCTCCCTGTGACCTTCTCCAGCCCAAAATGAGAGGCCTCCAGGCCAGCTGCCTGCTGCTGTGCGTGGTGGCGGCCAGCGCCACGCCCACGGTGCCCTGGCGGGTGGCGTGTCCCCCGCGCTGCGTGTGCCAGATCCGGCCCTGGTACACGCCCCGCTCCGCCTACCGCGAGGCGGCCACGGTGGACTGCAACGACCTCTTCATCACCTCGGTGCCCCCCGGGCTGCCCGAGGGCACCCAGACCCTGCTGCTGCAGAGCAACAACATCGCCAGGCTGGAGCAGGGCGAGCTGGGCTACCTGCGGAACCTGTCGGAGCTGGATCTGTCGCAGAACAGCTTCTCCGACGTCTGGGATTTCGGGCTCAGGAACATGCCCCAGCTGCTCAGCCTGCACCTGGAGGAGAACCAGCTCTCCGAGCTGCCCGACAGCAGCTTCCCGGGCTTGGGGAACCTGCAGGAGCTCTACCTGAACCACAACCGGCTCCGCAGCATCGGCCCCCGCGCCTTCGCCGGCCTGGGCAGCCTCCTGCGGCTCCACCTCAACTCCAACCTGCTGAGGACGCTGGACAGCCGCTGGTTCCAGATGCTGCCCAGCCTGGAGATCCTCATGGTCGGGGGGAACAAGGTGGACGCCATCCTGGACATGAATTTCCGGCCCCTGGGCAACCTGCGGAGCTTGGTGCTGGCCGGGATGCAGCTGCGGGAGATCTCGGATTACGCCCTGGAAGGGCTGAGGAGCCTGGAGAGCCTGTCCTTCTACGACAACAAGCTGGCAGATGTCCCCAAGAGGGCTCTGCAGCAGGTGCCCGGCCTGAAATTCCTGGATCTGAACAAGAACCCGCTGCAGAGGGTCAAGCAGAGCGACTTCACCAACATGCTGCACCTCAAGGAGCTGGGCCTCAACAACATGGACGAGCTGGTGTCCATCGACCAGTTCGCCCTCATCAACCTCCCCGAGCTGACCAAGCTGGACGTCACCAACAACCCCAAGCTGTCCTTCATCCACCCCAAGGCCTTCCAGCACCTTCCGCAGCTGGAGACGCTGATGCTCAACAACAATGCCCTAAGTGCCTTGCACCGGCAGACGGTGGAGTCGCTGCCCAACCTGCAGGAGATCAGCATCCACGGCAACCCGCTGCGCTGCGACTGCGTCATCCGCTGGGTCAACAGCACGCGGCCCCGCGTGCGCTTCATCGAGCCCCAGTCCACGCTCTGCGCCGAGCCCCCCGACCTCCAGCGCCGCCACATCCGCGACGTCCCCTTCCGGGAGATGACGGAGCAGTGCCTGCCGCTCATCTCCGCCCGCAGCATCCCGGCGCGCCTGGAGGCCGAGGTCGGCGACGACGTGGCCCTGCACTGCCGGGCGCTGGCGGAGCCGGAGCCGGAGATTTACTGGGTGACGCCGGCCGGGGCGAAGCTGCTGCCGTTCGGGGACGACGGGAAGTTCAAGGTGCACTCGGAGGGGACGCTGGAGATCCGCGGGATCGCGGCGCGCGAGGCCGGGCTCTACACGTGCGTGGCTCACAACCTGCTGGGCGCCGACACCCGCGGCGTCCGCGTGCTGGTCAACCGCTCCTTCCCGCTGGGCCAGGCCGAGCTGGAGCTGCTGGTGGTGGACGTCCAGCCCCATCACGTCCTGCTGGCCTGGCGGCCGTGCCTCAACGCCGTCTCCTCCAACCTCACCTGGGCCAGCCCGGCGCTGGGCTGGCGGCTGGGCGCGGCGCGGATCCCGGCGGGCACCCACAGCTTCAACGTCACCCGGCTGCGCCCCGACACCGAGTACCGGGCGTGTCTGCACGTCACCTTGGTGGCGTCGCCGGTCAGGGTGGCTTGTGTGACCACCAGGACTAAAGAGGCCAGCCAAGGGGTGCCGTGGGGACAGGGGACGCTGGTGACGGCGCTGCTGCTGTGCCTGCTGCTCCTGGGGGCGGCGGCGCGTGCCGGATCCCGGCGGGAATCGCTCCGTGGGGCCGGGGCCGTGCGCGTGGTTTATCCTGTGCAGCCCCGGGGACAGCTCCTGGCCGTGGAGGTGCAGGCAGCACCCCTGGAGTGCTGAGGGAGGATGGATTTTGGGGGGTTCAGCGGGGTTTTGGGGTGGGTGGGGAGAGGGGAAAGGGTTTTTTACCAAAAAAAGACGGACGCTGGGAAAAAAAGGGATTTTGTGGACGTGACCTTGAGGAGCCCCAGGATCCATGGGAGAAGAGCCTCTGGTGGTCCTGGATTTGGCCATGGATCCCAAAAAAAACCCCGCTGGGAAGATGGGAGGGAGCGGAGAACACTGTAGGGACAATGCCCCGAGTGGGTGAAGAGCCATAAAAGGAACCCCAAACCTGCATCCCCCTGGCACCAGGGACACCCCAGAGGTGTCACCTCCCTCGCTGGACACTCCCTGCTTTGGAAATACAAAAAAAACCCTTAAAAAAAAGGTTTCTTCCTTTGGGATCTCTGTGGGGGCTAGGGTTTCTTTTTTGGGGTTTTTTGGAGCCTTGGGATCATCAAACAAAGCAACCCCAGTGTCGCCTCCCTCGCTGGACAGTCCCTGCTTTGGAAATACAAGAAAAACCTAAAAAAAACCCTAAAACAAAAAGGTTTTTTTTCCTTTGGGATCCGTGTGGGGTTTGGGGTTATTTTTTGGGGTTTTTGGAGTGTTGGGATCATCAAACCAAGTGTCACCCCTTGCTGTGTCACTGCTGTCACTTGGGGGGAAGCAGGAAGGGAGGATTTGGGATAGAAGCACGGAAATGGTGACGGTGACACTTCCCTGTGGGGCTGGATGGATCCTGGATCCCACAAGATCCCCAAAACTTTTGTGGATAAAGGGTAAACCAGGGAGACAAAAAATAAAAAAAAAGAAAGGAAGAGGGGAAGAAGTAGGAAAAAAACCTGGGAATGTTGAGATGCAACTGGAGGGGTCCAGCTGGCATTTGGGAATGGAGAAATCTTGGATTTGTGGGTTTGGGAAATCAGGACAACCAACCCTCAACCACGGGATCGTGTCCCTGAGCACCTTCTCCAGCCGGGAATGTGGATCCTGGGAGGAGGGAAAGTGGCAGGAGCTGGGCATGGGTGCCCTCTAGTGAGCTCTGCTTTCTGCAGGAGCAATGATCCCAAAAAACAGCTGGGAAAGGGAGAAAATTGTCACAGGGATGGGGTGGGGTGGGTGATCCCACGGGAATGTCAGAGGAAATGGGATTGGGAACGGGCTGGAGAACAAAGGGTCAAATCCAGAGGATTTACTGCTGTCATTCCTGAGGGATTTTGCAGCATTGGAAAGGGAAAAACCTGCCTGGAAAGAGGAAAAAATTCCTAAAAAGGGGGAAAAGTTTGCCTGGAAAAAGGGGAAAAAAAATCTGTCTGAAAAGAGAAAAATCTACCTGGAAAGAGGAAAAAATTCCTAAAAAGGGCGAAAAGTTTGCCTGGAAAGGGGGAAAAAAATCTGTCTGAAAAGAGAAAAATCTACCTGGAAAGAGGAAAAAAATGTATTTGAAAAGGGGACAAATCTGCCTGAAAAGTGGGAAAATGAGCTTTTAAAGGAATTATTTTATCCCTCAAAACAATGTGTTTCATTTTTAAGCCACTTTTCACTCAAAAATGAGGATTGTTTTAGCCTAAAGGATAGGTGAGGGCAGGTGGAACATCCCAAAATATCCCAAAATGGTTGGAATTGAATGCTGCTGAACAGAGGTGACACAGACTAGATTTAAATATACAAAAAAGAGAAGAAATAGAAATTAAAGAGCCCAAAAAGAACGAAAAATAGAACACTATTATTATTTTTCCATCTCATTTGTGACCTGAGAGGTGTGGATTAAAAACTTGGATTTATTTCCCATCTGCGAGCAAGGAATTCTTCACCCTGCCGACCTTAAACAATAAAAAAACTAGGAATAAAGTTCTTTTTCTTCTCTCCAAAACAAATCCCCTGCCCTCCAACCATAAATATTTATTTCTGTTTTTAACTCTCGGCTCCAAAGGAATTGCACAAGTCAGGATTTATGGAAAAAAACCACAGGTTTCAATTTTTCCCAAATCTGCTGTTCTTGGTCAGGAGAAAGAATCCCAAGGGATAAAATCGGGCTGAAGATGGGAAATTGGGAAAATTTCCAAGCTGGGTTTTGATCTCGAGGTGATTTCCATGGAAAAGTGGATTCTGTAGAGGATTCTTGGTGGGTTTAAATCTTGGTACTCTTTGGTTTCACTGGCTGAGCTCTGGAATTGGGGTTTGAGTGCAAACATCTTTATTTTGGGGTTATTTTAGGGGCAGAAGGTCCTGCTATCCCATAAAGATCCCGATGACCATCTTGATCCTCCAGACCAAGCTCTGGAATTGGGGTTTTTGTGCAAAAAAACCTATTTTTGGGGTAATTTTACTTGAAGGTCCTGCTAGGCCAGGAAGATCCCAAGGGCCATCCTGATCTCCTTCCTGCACACACTGAAATTGGGATTTGAGTGCAGAAATCCTCTTTTTGGGATTATTTTAGGGTTAGAAGATCCTGCCACCCCACGAAGATCCTGATGACCATCATGATCTCCTTCCTGCACACACCATAATGGGAGTTTGAGTGCAAAAATCCAAATTTTGGGGTTATTTTATGAAGATCCTGATGACCATCTTGATCTCCTTCCTGCACACACTGTAATAGAGGTTTGAGTGCAAAAATCCAAATTTTGGGGTTATTTTATGAAGATCCTGATGACCATCTTGATCTCCTTCCTGCACACACTGTAATAGAGGTTCGAGTGCAAAAATCCAGATTTTGGGTTTACTTTAGAGGCAGAAAGCCTCCCTACCCCATGAAGATCCTGATGACCATCGTGATCTCCTTCCTGCACACACTGTAATAGAGGTTTGAGTGCAAAAATCCAAATTTTGGGGTTATTTTATGAAGATCCTGATGACCATCTTGATCTCCTTCCTGCACACACCGTAATAGAGGTTCGAGTGCAAAAATCCAGATTTTGGGTTTACTTTAGAGGCAGAAAGCCTCCCTACCCCATGAAGATCCTGATGACCATCTTGATCTCCTTCCTGCACACGGGACACGGCGATCTCTTCTTCTTCAGCATCCTGGCACACCTGAAGCAGGCCACCAGGTGAGCAGTCCTTCCGTGGACAATATTCCCATCCCGAGGCCTGTGCTGGCACAGGAAGCAGGGATTCAGCAGGGTTTTGATGCTCTCCAAAGATTCCATCTCCTCCTCTTTGTTCAGCTTGGCAAAATCCCGATTTTTCCCCTCCCGCGCCAAATCCAAGGACTCGATGGAGCTGCTGGGATCCACGTGGGGTCTGTTTTCTCCCAGGAAAAGATGTTTGGGTTGGCCAGCCGGGGCTGAGATCGTCCTCCTGCAGTCTGGGACGTCAATCCCTTCATCCTGCTCCTGGTTTTCCATGGAATTGATGTTGGAAAGGGACAGGGAGTGGGGCAGTTTGGGGCAGTCCCGGTACCAGTCCTTGCGCAGGGCCCAGCAGCGGAAGCAGTACCTTTTGCCTGGAGAGTTGAATTTCCTGCACTTGGAGCATTGCCAGCAATCCTGAGGGATTTAAGGCAAAAATTCCAGCAAAAAATCAATTTGTTTTTTGGGTATTCCTCATATTTGCCGTGTGGGGAAAGCAGCAAGTAAGCCTCGTTAAAAAAAAATTATTTATGAGTGATTTGTAAGCTGGAAAATCAACATTTTGTGGCTTGGGATTGATTCATCCCAGATCTGTCCCTCACTAATTCCTCTCCTTCCTCTCTCCCAGCCCTCTGGAAGAATCCAAGTTGGGGCAGTTTATTTTTATTTAATTTCAAGAGAATTTTCAATATTTTGCTCAAAATTTAAGAGGCAAGCTCCTGGAATTTGGCAGGAATTTTTGCAGGCTCACCCATCACTTACCAGCTGTTGAATCTGCACAATTAACGGATTTATTAATTCATTATCTCACAGAAAAGGGCAGGAGCTGCACAAGTGCAGAACCAGGACTCAGCTGTCCAAAGCCACGGACATCCCCATTTATTCCAGGCTGGAAAATTCTGCTAAGAACCATTAAAATTCTGCTAAAACCATTAAAATTCTCCTAAAAATCACTAGAATTCTGAGTTTTTGAGTGATTATAAAGTGCTGCTTGAGATTTCCAGGTCCCTTCCAAGGACAACCCTCCAGATTTCCATCCAGAGGACAACATGGAATTAAAATCTTATTAAACCATGCCTGGGTATCAACATAACTACACCCACTTTTCTTTTTGAAAATCCACAAGAAAATCAGCTTTTCCCACCCCAAAACCAGCAGCAGATGTGGGATGAGCCCTTGCAGCCCCAGGTGATCCCAAAGAATTCCCACCTCAGAAGCAGCCTCTGTGTCCGTGTCATCACTCAGGCACTGGGAATCCTCCAGCTCATCCAAGCACACATCCTCAGGCACCTGGAATTCCAGGAAAGCATTATCAGAGGGTGGGAATGTTGGAATATTCCCTATTTATCGTTTTCCTGGTGCTGCACACCCAATTACAGGATTATAGCATCACCCTGTTTATTAAATCACTTCTAAATGTGAATTAAAAACCATTTTTGCAGTGGTTCTTTTGAAGAATATTGGTAACTTTTGCTGGTTTACCATGATCAGATTCTCCTCTTTGAGTCTTTAGCTGGACTCAATTTTTAAAAGCCTTTTCCAAAATTAATTCCATGATTTTTGATTCATAACTTGTGCAGGTATTGGTTAGAAACCCACTTAAGTCACTGCAAGGAGTTTAATTCATTTTCAATTGATTTTATGCCTTGAAAAATTGAATTTAAACCAAAACCCAAGCAGGAAAACCATCAAACACATGAGGAATGGGACACTTTTCTTTTTGAAAACCCACAAGAAAATCAGCTTTTCCCACCCCAAAACCAGCAGCAGATGTGGGATGAGCCCTTGCAGCCCCAGGTGATCCCAAAGAATTCCCACCTCAGAAGCAGCCTCTGTGTCCGTGTCATCACTCAGGCACTGGGAATCCTCCAGCTCATCCAAGCACACATCCTCAGGCACCTGGAATTCCAGGAAAGCATTATCAGAGGGTGGGAATGTTGGAATATTCCCTATTTATCGTTTTCCTGGTGCTGCACACCCAATTACAGGATTATAGCATCACCCTGTTTATTAAATCACTTCTAAATGTGAATTAAAAACCATTTTTGCAGTGGTTCTTTTGAAGAATATTGGTAACTTTTGCTGGTTTACCATGATCAGATTCTCCTCTTTGAGTCTTTAGCTGGACTCAATTTTTAAAAGCCTTTTCCAAAATTAATTCCATGATTTTTGATTCATAACTTGTGCAGGTATTGGTTAGAAACCCACTTAAGTCACTGCAAGGAGTTTAATTCATTTTCAATTGATTTTATGCCTTGAAAAATTGAATTTAAACCAAAACCCAAGCAGGAAAACCATCAAACACATGAGGAATGGTGACAGCCTTTTCTAAACAGGATTTAGCCTCTGGATGGGAACAGATCCAGCCTTTCCAAGGGCAGCATGGGATGGATTAAACCAGAGAAAAATGTGCCAGAGGTACCTTGGTGTCACCTTCTGTGACCTCCTCACAGTCCAGCACTTCCACCTTGAGCCCAGCAGTGCTCTGGTCCAGGGGACACTCGTTGAGGAACCACAGGTCATCAGTGGTGTCTGAAACTATGGCAGTGTCAATGTCCTGAGGGGCAAAAAGCAGGAAAAATCATTTAGGAGAACTCCACATCCAGCACTGTTCCATTTTCCTCTCCAAAACCTCCAAAGCCCTGGGCACCTCACTGCCCTCAGACACACCTTTTGAAAATTTCTGCCTCTAAGGCCCCCCTTTTCCCACCTCACTGGTTTTCATTTTTAAAATTTTCACCTCACAGATTCCCTTTTTTCCAATTTCCACCTCACAAGTTCCCCATTTTCCCAATTTCCCCCTCACAGGCTCCCCCTTTTCCCAACTTTTTCCCAATTTCCACCTCACAATTTCCCTCTTTCCCCCTCACCAACTCAGTTTTTCCCAATTTCCACCTCAGAGGCTGCCATTTTCCTAATTTCCCCCTCACATGCTTCTCTTTTCCCAATTTCTCCCTTACAGGCCCCCCTTTTCCCAATTCCCACCTCACAGGTTTCCATTTTCAAAATTTTCACCTCACAGATTCCCTTTTCTCCATTTTCCATCTCAAAAGTTTCTCTCTTCCCAATTTCCACCTCACCATCTCCCCTCTTCCCAACCTTTTCCTAATTTCCACCTCACCATCTCCCCTTTTTCCAACTTCCACCTCTTCCAGCTCAGCCACCACCCTGCAATGTTCACCCCAATAAAAAAAAGGAAAACTCCTGAAATCCAGGCACCTCTGAGGGCTTTAAAAAAGAGTTTGGTCGATTAAAAACCCTAAAATTCACCAACCACCCAATGGGAAAGGCCCGGAGTGGGAAAAAGGCTGAAAATCCTGGAGTGGGAAGGGGAAAGAGAGAAAAAAAACTAGAATATTTGATTTCCTTGGAAGCCAAAAGAGGAGAGGAAGAGGACACAAGGCCCCTTTTTACACACCTGGTTAGTCTGAATATCCGTGGATCCATTACTCCTGGATTTGTAATTGCTTCTGAGATTCCCCAAAAACCACCACGGCAGCCCAGCCACATCCCATTCCTCAAAAACCAGGTCCAGCTTGGGCTTTTTGCTTTTGGAGAGGTTTTCTATCAAATCACTGTCTGGAAGAGCCAAGCACAGTCCAAGTCATTGGGTAAGAGACACCAGCAGAGAAAAAAATGGGGCTGAAATCTGATTTTCTTTTACTTTGTGCATCAAGCTGAGAGCTCTGGGGTTTGGATGTCCCATCTGGTAAAAATCCATGCACAAGTCAGGAACATCCCAGTGTCCCCAGTGCCCCTGCACTGGGATAGGCTGGGTTTAATTTCAAGTTTCACCACAGAAACACAAACATTTCCCCAGCCAGCCCCGAGGGGATTTCTGCAGTGATTTAAAATGCAGAAAGGATCAGTTGGAATTCAGGTGGCAGCTCCTGAATTCCCAAGAAGTGGGATCCATCGTGCCCATGCTCCAGCCTGGGATCCCAAACTGAGCACTCTGCATTCCAGGATCACCTTGGATCTCCCTCCCTCCCTCCAGTGCCTGCAGTTTCCAAGGCACAGCCAAGACTGGTTGGTAAATCCAGGTAATTTTACAAGGGTTTCCAAGGCTGGTTTGGAAATCCAGGGAATTTTACAAGGTTTTCCAAGGCTGGTTTGTAAATCCAGGGAATTTTACAAGGTTTTCCAAGGCTGGTTTGTAAATTCAGGGGATTTCCAGCTTTCCTATTTGAGCCGGAAACAAGGAGCTGCTTTTCCAACTGAGATTCCTTCATACAAGAGAACAGTAAGTGGAAAAATAGGAAAATTGCTCCCAAAACTTCTGAAATCTCCATGTGTGGCCCAGTAAAAAAAAAATCCCATAGGGAAAATGTCAAAATATGACAGATCCACCCAAAAATCCCCATTTTTGTTCAGTTCCCTGCTTGGTTTGCAGGGAACGACTGCAGCCAGCCCAGGCTGGGTTCTGTGAGCTCAGGAGCCTCCCTTGGGAAGGGGGATGGATCCAAAGATCATTCCAGCATTTAAAACACCCTCCAGCAAGGTCTGGAAGATTTTTTTTCTCATGGCATTGCTCAATGAGAGATGGGATTTTGGGGCTTAACCTGTCACTGCATTCAGAGCATTTATTTATGACCAGAAATTAAGAAAATACCTGTGGTGAACTCTGTAATTTCTCAGTCTTCAGCACCAAGATTTTAAATGATAATGTTTCAAACCAGGGCTTTTTTGAGTCCCTCCTCCAGAATTTTGCTGCTGTGTCCCACACAGGTGGTTTGTAAGTGCTGTGATAATGCAGAAATTTGTCCCTCACCTTCACAAGTGTCACATTTGGACTCTGAGGTAGCAGGAGCTGAGGTTTTGCTGTCACCCTCCAGGATCCCAGAGTCAGATCCTTCCTCCTGGCTGAGCTGCAGGAAGGAAAATCCAGGAATGAGCCCAGCAGAGCTTGCAGGGACAAGGGGATGCAGCACTTCCATCCCCAGGCACCAGCTGCAGGATGAGACCAAGCAGGTAGGAAGAGGAAATAATTCAGAATAAAAACTACAAACTATTTCTCTTTAAAGCCTCTGGAATCAGCACGAACAACCAAGGAAAAATCTTCAGCTTGGCAAAAATCCTAAAGTTGGTGTTTTCCATGCATTAAAAGTTGATTTTGTGGCTCTGACACCTCCCAGCCTTCACCCCAAACCACACCCGGAAAAAGCTTTGGAAGCGCCAAGATTTTTCCTAGGTTTTCACCTCTGCCTGAAAAGCTGCTGGAAACAAATCCTAACTAGGCACAGTGAATTATTTATTTGGCAATTCCTAGTGGGAGAAAAGAGGGGGAAAAGCAGGAAAACAGGGCTGGAGAAGCTGAGGCCTGGAAGTGCTGCACCCCAGAAGAACGCGCTCAGAGACTGGCACTCTGTCACGAGGAGAACAGAGAAGGGTGGCTCTGTCCCTGCTCTGTGGATTCCAGAACTTTTTCATTTTTTGGAGGGGATTTTTCTCTCAGGAAAAAAAAGGTGAGGAGCAGCACAACAACAACAACAAAAAGTTCTGGCAGTCCACCATGCAGAGGTACAGAGAAGGGGCGGCTCTGTACAAAAAAAGAACCCACTGGGCAGTGGGGTTTACCTGCAGCTGGTCTGGGCTGGGCTTAGCGACGCTCTGCTCCTTTGGGAGAGTCTGTGCAGCATCTGCAGATGGCAGGCAAAACACAAGGAAAAGCCTTCCCTGGAAATTCCCACTCTCACAGCACGCAGGGCTCGGGGCAAGCAACCAACCAGGCAGGCTTGGCAGACCTGGGCACTCCTGCAGGGAAAGGCTGGGCTGCTCAGGGGGGACCCGGGCATTTTGGGGAGAAGCGGCTGGGGGGAAATGCAGAGTATTCTTCCCAAAGGGAAAAAGCATTCTTCTTGCTACAGCTAAATTCAGAATACTCTTCCCAAAGGGAAAAACAATTATTTTTGCTATAGCCATCCCAAATTCAGAATATTCTTCATACTGGAAAAAAGTATTCTTCTTGCTACAGCTAAATTCAGAATACTCTTCCCAAAGGGAAAAAGTATTCTTCTTGCTGCAGCCAAACTTCTTCCCAAAGGGAAAAACAATTATTTTTGCTATAGCCATCCCAAATTCAGAATATTCTTCCCAAAGGAAAAAAGTATTCTTCTTGCTGCAGCTAAATTCAGAATATTCTTCCTAAAGGGAAAAAGTATTCTTCTTCCTACAGCTAAATTCAGAATACTCTTCCCAAAGGGAAAAGTTATTCTTATTCCTACAGCCATCCCAAATTCAGAATGTTCTTCCCAAAGGGAAAAATGATTTTTTGCTACAGCCATCCCAAATTCAGAATACTCTTCCCTAAGGGAAAAATAATTCTTTTTGCTATAGCCAAATTCAGAATGTTCTTCCCAAAGGGAAAAATTATTCTTTTCCCTACAGTCAGCTCAAATTCAGAATGTTCTTCCCAAAGGGAAAAATTATTTTTTGCTACAGTCAGCTCAAATTCAGAATATTCTTCCTAAAGGGAAAAGTTATTATTCCTACAGCCAAATTCAGAATATTCTCAAAAGGAAAAATTATTATTTGTATGTTGAATTGTTCCTGAGGTTCCCTAAAAACCACCAGGGCTTTGTGTGATTTTCCCTGGAGTTTCCAAGGCTCTTTTTTACATCCAGGGAATTTCCCCAATCCCATTTCAGCTGGAAACACCCACGTTTACAAGGAGCTGCTTTTCCAACTGAGAAAAGAGAATAAAAAATGGAAAAACAGGAAAATTGCGGTTTTGTGTGATTTTCCCTGGAGTTGCCAAGGCTCTTTTGTACATCCAGGGAATTTCCCTAATTCCATTTCAGCTGGAAACACCCACGTTTCACAAGGAGCTGCTTTTCCAACTGAGAAAAGAGAATAAAAAATGGAAAAACAGGAAAATTGCTCCAAAAACTTCTGAAATCTCCATGAGTGACCCAGCAAGAAATCCCACGGGGGAAATGTTTAAATATGACAGATCCACCCAAAAAAAAAAAAAAAAAAAAAACCAAACATTTGAGTTCAGTTCCCTGCTGGGTTTGCAGGGAATGGCTGCAAAGCCATTCCTCAAACACCAGGATTGCACAGGGAATCCAGCCTGGAAGGTGAACAGGAATTTTTTGGGAATTTCTGAGGATTTCTTGCTCTTCTTGAAGGGTTTGGGCTTGAGGATAAAGAGCAAAGAAGGGAAAATTCCATGCACAGGCCTGGACACAGCTGGATCCAGCTGCTCCCAAGAGTTAATTAAAAGGCCGAGCTAAATTAACAAGAATCCAATTAACAGGAATCTTTCTGAGCCTGGCTTTGAGCAGAGAGAACAAAAGATGCCAGGCTGGCTCCTGCCTGCTCCCCTTCCCATGGAACAGGAAAATTCCCTTTGGATGAGGCTGAATCCCACCAGGAATCACACCTGGATAGGGAAGGTCTGAAAATGGCAGAAAATTCCACCTAAAAATGGCCTTTAAATGGAGCAAAATTCAGAAGTTCCTGGGTTTTTTAATTCCTTTCATCACCTTCCAGCTGCTGGGGTTTAATCCCTGATGGAAAACAGGAGCCTGGGCTCTGCAGGGAGATGGGAACAGGGAGAAATCCTTCAAAAATCTGATTTTTAGAGAGTGAAAATACTCCAGGTGATGGAAGGCTTCCTTCTGGGGCTGGTAAATTCCATAAAAACCAGCCTGAAGGGAGGGATTCCTAAATGCAGCCTGGGGGAGTCAGACTGGGGAAAAGTGGGCAGGGAAAGGGGGAAAGTTAGAAAAGGGGAAAAAATAGAAAAGGGGGAAAGAATTAGAAAAGGGGGAAAAAATTAAAAAAGGGGGAAAGAATTAGAAAAGAAAGGGAGGGGGAAATCAGAAAAGACAAGGGGGGAAATTAATAAAGGGGGAAAAATTAGTCAAGAAAAGGGGGAAAATCATACAAGAAAATGGGAAAAATCAGGGAAGAATGGGGTGGGAATTATAAAAAGGGGGGAAAATTGACTAGGAGGAAAATTAGGCGAGAAGGGGGGGAAATTAGAAAAGGAAGGGAGAAACATTAGACAAGGAAGAGGAGGAAAATTAACCAAATCCAGTCATTCCTGTGCTGGGCTGGAGGCAAGCAAACAGCTGGAAAAGGAGGAAAAGAGCTGGAAAAGGAAGGAAAAGAGCTGGAAAAGGAAGGAAAATGGGAGGGAAGAAGGAAAAGAGGTGGGAAATTAAGGAAAATGGGAGGGAAAAAAGAAGGAAAAGGGGAGGGAAAAGAGAAGGAAAAGGGGAGGGGGAAAAAGAAGGAAAAGGGGAGGGGGAAAAAGAAGGAAAAGGGGAGGGGAAAGAGAAGGAAAAGGGGAGGGGAAAGAGAAGGAAAAGGGGAGGGGGAAAAGAAGGAAAAGGGGAGGGGAAAGAAGGAAAAGGGGAGGGGAAAGAGAAGGAAAAGGGCAGGGAAAAAGAAGGAAAAGGGGAGGGGAAAAGAGAAGGAAAAGAGCCTGAGGCTCCCTCCCTGTGCACTCCCAGGTCTGGGCTGCCAAGCCTGGTTGGTTTGGGTCTCACTCACACTCAGGCAGGTCTAACTCAGCCCTAGGACAGCTTTTCCTGAGCCAGGCTTAACGTGAGGCCAGGGCTGGCCCAGGAGCAGCCTGGGTGGCAGGAAAAGGCAGCAATCCTCAGCTCTCCACACACACAGCTTGGTTTGGGAGCAGGGAGCAGCACTCACACAATCTTCCTACAGGTAGAGTCCAAATAGAATTGAAAAGATTCTTCTGGAAAATAAATCCAAATGGAAAAAAAAGACTCTTCTGTAAAAAAAATCCAAGGCAGAAACGGCCACGTTTTAAATTTTAATTTAATTTTTTTTCCACACGTGCCTGAGCCCTCCTAAAGGTTTAAATCCATTTTATCTGGTTAAAAAATGGGAAATGTGGAACAAAATTCCACAGCTGTGGAACAAATCCCTTTTATCTGTTTAAAAAATGGGAAATGTGGCACAAAATTCCACAGCTGGGGATTAAATCCATGGGTTTTGTTTTAAAAAATGGGAAATGTGGCACAAAATTCACCTGCTCTGCCAGTGGAGTTGATTTTTTTCCCAGTTCTACACCAAGAACTGGTTTCAAAGAAGCCACCCCAGCTCAGATTAATTTGAGAATAAATTTCCATTTTGATGGAGTTTAATTGAATTTCTCCCATGAGCTGGGGAAGCTGCAAGGTTCAAGGTTAAAGCCTTGCAGAATTTTTAGCAAAGTAATCAAAATATAAAATGAGGTGAGAGCAAGAAATTGCAGCTATGAATCTGAAAAAACATCAAAATATTAATTCCAGTCAAGGATGGGATTTTAGGATTCAGCTTTGACCCAAATTTGGGGTTTTTTGGCACCACTCAGACAGCTCCTGGCACACAGAAAAGACACAAACTCCGAGAGATTTGCTTGGCAAAGTTTTTCAGAGAAGTTTATTCCTCCTGCAGCGCCAGGATTTGGCATTTTCCTGGATTTTTTTGTGGTTTTTTTGGTACTTACCAGGTCAGAGCAACATTTATGGAACAGGACCAACCTACCTGGGAGGGCTGCAGGGCTCAGGTTCCTCTTCAGCATCTCGTACACGGGGCTGGGGAGGGCCAAAAATCCCCTTTTAGTGGCCAGAAAGAGCCCAAAAATCCCAAAACCATTTGGTCTCACATGGATTTAATTATAAAAATTCTTAGGGAGTTGATTTTCCCACAGATCTCAGAAATCAGGGAGGTTCTTTTTCTAGAGACCTCAAAAAAAAGGGGGTTTTTACTAGAGAGACCCCAAAAAATGGGGTTTTTTCCTAGAAGGATCCCAAAAACCATAGGGAATTTCTCCCTAAAGCCCAAAAAAACCAGAATTTTTTTCTAGAGAGGTCCCAAAACCACATGGAATTTTTCCCTAGAGACCCCAAAATCACAGTGGATTTTTTCCTAGAGAAATCTCAAAAACCACTGAGGTTTTTTTCCTAGAAAGCCCCAAAAAACCCAGAGGGAATTTTTCCCTAGAGATCCCAAAAAACAGTGAATTTTTTTCCTAGAGAGACCTAAAAAACCAGTGGGTTTTTAAACTAGAGGGACCCCAGAAACCACTGGTTGTGGGGTTTTTTTGAGGTCGTTAGCTTTTTTCTAGAAATCCTAAAAATCACAGTGATTTGCCTTTTCTAGAGAGGAATGGGGATCTTTTTTCACTTTCCAGATAAAAATGGAACATTTTTTCAGCTTTTCCAGGTAAAAATGGGAAATTATTCTCAGCATTTTCAGATAAAAATGGCAATCTTCTTCAGATTTTCTGGATAAAAATGGTAACTCTCCCCCAGACTTTCCAGATAAAAATGGAAAATTTTTTCAGCTTATCCAGGTAAAAATGGGAAATTATTCTCAGCATTTTCAGATAAAAATGGCAATCTTCTTCAGATTTTCTGGATAAAAATGGTAACTCTCCCCCAGATTTTCTGGATCAAAAGGGCAGGTTTCCCCCCAGATTTTCTGGATAAAAACATGAACTTTTTCAGCTTTTCCAGATGAAAATGGGTCATTTTTTCAGATTTTCTAGATAAAAATAGGAAGCTTTTCCAGATAAAAACTGGGGAAATTTCAGGTTTTTTGTCCAGATAAAAGCTGCTAATTTTTTCAGATTTTCTGGATAAAAACAGGTACCTTTTCCAGCTAAAAATGTCTTTTTTTTTTTCAGCCTTTCCAGCTAAAAATTGGGGTTTTTTTAGATTTTCCATTTTTTTATCCAGATAAAAGCTGCTAATATTTTCAGATTTTCTGGATAAAAACAGATAGCTTTTCCAGCTAAAAATGTGATTTTTTTTTCAGCCTTTCCAGCTAAAAATTGGGGTTTTTTTAGATTTTCCAGATAAAAACAGGGTGTTTTTTAGATTTTTCAGATAAAAATTGTTATTTTTTCAGCTTTTCTGGATAACAATGGGATTTTTTCCCTACCTGGGGTCCTTGACAGAGAAGCTCTGCAGTCCCAGCAGCTCTCCCAGCTGATCTCCCCCGCAGTGCACCAGGTGCTGCTGCCTCTTGTCGTAGAGCTGCCGGGCCATGATGTACTGGCCCAGGAAATGCATCACCTGTGGGCAAGGTTCACAGCTGCCACATGTGCCTGGGGGTTTGGATTCTGTTCATCCATCTTCCTCCCTGATCCTCCCACCAGGAGATCTCTGCTGTTCATGGACCGTTAATTATTAATTATTAATTATCTTCTGTCCATGGCCAGGGAGTGTCCCTGCAGGGCTGATCAAATTCCAGCATCCCACTGGGAGATGCTCTGCCCAGGGGAGGAACCCAGGACATTCCCTCAGGTGCCAAAATCCTGGGAATTCCTGGGATTTGGGATATCCTGCAGGTTGGGATGGTGGGAGGGGAATTAGATGGGATTTTGGGGGTGGCAGATATGGGGGGGTTGTGTTGGAGTAAAGTTTTGGGGTTGAGGTGGAGGATGGAAATGTCCTGGTTCAAATGGGGTTATCCCAGTTCAAAATGGGACTATCCCAGTGACCCCAAAGTGTCTCCAGAAAGTCCCCAAAAAGTGACCAAGCGTCCCCAAAGTGACCCTGAAGTCTTCTCAAAAACTGACCCTGAAATGTCCTCAAAGTGTTCCCAGGAAATGACCCTGAAGTGTCCCCAAAGTACCTTCAAAGTGTCCTCAAAATGACCCCCAAGTGCCCTCAAAAAGTGACCCCAAAGTGCCCCTGAAGTGTCCTCAAAAAGTGACCTCAAATGTCCCTACAGTGTCTCTAAAAACTGACCCTGAAGTGGCCCTGAAGTGACCCCACAGTGATCCTGAAGTGCCCCCAAAATGACCCTGAAATGTCACCAAGAAGTGACCCCAAAGTTCCCCCAAAAAGTGACCCCAAAGTACCTTCAGAATGACCCCAAAGTGCCCATGAAGTGCCCCTGAAGTGTCCACAAAAAGTGACCTCAAATGTCCCTAAAGTGTCTCTAAAAACTGACCCTGAAGTGGCCCTGAAATGACCCCACAGTGATCCTGAAGTGTCCTCAAAATGACCCTGAAACGTCCCCAAGAAGTGACCCCAAAGTGACCCTGAAATTCCCCCAAAAAGTGACCCCAAAGTACCTTCAGAATGACCCCAAAGTGCCCATGAAGTGCCCCTGAAGTGTCCACAAAAAGTGACCTCAAATGTCCCTACAGTGTCTCTAAAAACTGACCCTGAAGTGACCCCACAGTGACCCTGAAGTGTCCTCAAAATGACCCTGAAATGTCCCCAAGAAGTGACCCCAAAGTTCCCCCAAAAAGTGACCCCAAAGTGCCTTCAGAATGACCCTGAAGTGACCCAAAAAGTGACCCCAAAGTGCCTTCAGAATGACCCTGAAGTGACCCAAAAAGTGACCCCAAAGTGCCTTCAGAATGACCCTGAAGTGACCCAAAAAGTGCCCCCAAAGTGATCGCCAAGTGTCCCCGAAGTGTCCCCACAGGTCCATGGGAACATTTCCCAGGGAACGGAGGAGGGAATGCCCCCAGATGCCAGCTGAACCCCAGGCAGGGCCCGGAAGGTGCCCCCACCTCTTTGAGCGTGAAGGAGTCGCCCTGGGCACCCGCAGCCTGCAGGATCCTCAGCAGGGGCAGCTTGGGAACCACCTGCAAAACACAGCAGGGATCCCTGCAATTCTGGGATCACACCTGGAGCCATCCCAAAAAACCCACAGCAGAAAAAATGCACAGCAAAAGTAACCCACACCAAAACATCATCCCACTATTTATCAATATTTTCAGGCTATTTAACAAAACTATCAATATTTCCCACCATTTATCAATGCTATCAATATTTCCCTACTATTTATCAATATTTCCCCACCATTTATCAGGATTTCCCCATTATTTATCAATACTATCAATATTTTCCCACTATTTATCAATACTATCAGTATTTGCCCACCATTTCTCAATATTATCCCACCATTCATCAATACTATCAATATTTTCCCACCATTTATCAATGCTATCAATATTTCCCTACTATTTATCAATATTTCCCCACTAATTTATCAATGCTATCAATATTTCCCTACTATTTATCAATATTTCCCCACCATTTATCAGGATTTCCCCATTATTTATCAATACTATCAATATTTTCCCACCATTTATCAATGCTATCAATATTTTCCCACTATTTACCAATACTTCCCACCATTTATCAATGCTATCAATATTTCCCTACTATTTATCAATATTTCCCCACTATTTACCAATACTTCCCACCATTTATCAATACTATCAATATTTCCCCACCATTTATCAAGATTTCCCCATTATTTATCAATACTATCAATATTTTCCCCACTATTTATCAATACTATCAGTATTCCCCCACCATTTATCAATATTATTCCACCATTCATCAATACTATCAGTATTTCCCCACTCTTTATCAATACTATCAGTATTTCCCCACTCTTTATCAATATTAACAATATTTCCCCACCACTGATCAACATTTCCCCACCATTTATCAATATTATCCCATCATATCAATACTATCAGTATTTCCCCATCATTGATCAATATATTCCCATTATTTCTCAATATTATCAGTATATTCCCACTATTTATTCCTTTTTTTCTGAATTTGGCTCCATTTCCAAGCTCCTAAATTTTCCTCCAATGGAAAATCCAAATTTATTCCCACTCCCACCACATTTTCCCTGATATTGGAAGGATTTTTTTTTCCCCCCAAGAAACTGGAATTATTCCACCATTCATCAATACTATCAACATTTCCCCACTCTTTATCAATACTATCAGTATTTCCCCACTCTTTATCAATATTAACAATATTTCCCCACCACTGATCAACATTTCCCCACCATTTATCAATATTATCCCATCATTTATCAATACTATCAGTATTTCCCCACCATTGATCAATATATTTCCATTATTTCTCAATATTATCAGTATATTCCCACTATTTATTCCTTTTTTTCTGGATTTGGCTCCATTTCCAAGCTCCTAAATTTTCCTCCAATGGAAAATCCAAATTTATTCCCACTCCCACCACATTTTCCCTGATATTGGAAGGATTTTTTTTTCCCCCCAAGAAACTGGAAGTTTGAATTTTTGATTTTTTTTTTTCCAGCTGATTTTTATTGTTTGGGAATTTTTCTGCTCTGATGGTTTTTTTTATTCCAGGAAAACTCCAGGAATTTTGAATAATGGGAATATTCCAAGTCCAAATGTTCCCTAATTTACCTTAAAAAAAAAAAAAAAACAAACAAAAAACCCTGAGGATTAATTACTAAAGAAAACTAAAGAAAATTTAAATATTATAAATTTAATCAAATTAAGGTGAAAAAGCTCCAATATTTTGAAATCTAAATCCAGGATTTTTTCCTACTTCAGGAAAAAAAAAAACAAACTGTCATATTTTAAATAAAAATCCACCACTAAAAATAGCCACAATTCCTTGGGTTTATGACATTTTAAATCTATTTTTTCCCTTGAAAATATTCCTAAATCATGGATGTGAAAGAGAACAAAATCCTTGAGATAAATCCCAATTTTCTGGGAAAAATCCCAATTTTTTCAGGATAAATTCTCCAGATTTAAATATATTTTGGGTTTTATAAAAATCGTCGCTCTGAGGAGGAAATAACAGATAAATGATGGGAGGGAGGGGTAATTAGCTGATAACTAATTGATAATTACCTGATTGGCTTGGCCCAGGGTGATCCTGCAGGAATTCCCAGCTCCTGGAGTTTGGGTGGAATTTGGGAAGCTCATCCTGGCAGTGAGGAGCTGCTCAAGCACCGACCTGCAAATGGATTTGGGGTTAAAATAAGCCCTAAAATCTTATTTTTAATCGTGGCCCGGGCCCCTCCTGCTCTGTGCTGCTCCGGGATGGGGAGGGGAAAAAAGGAGAAAACAAAAAAAAGGAAAAGTATTTGGGAAGGGTTGATTCAAGCACATCAAAAATTCAAATCTCTAAATTATAATTCAAATTATGACAGCTTTAATCCCTTCCCCAGTTCATATTTCCCTCAATTTTAACCGATTTCTGAGGGAAAAAATTAAAATATTGCCCAGAATCAACTTTAAAATGAGCTGGACAGGGTAGAGTCAAACTTTTTAAATTTATGAGGAGCATTGACACTGACCTGGAATAATTCCAATTATAACAGCTTTAATCCCTTCCCCAGTTCATATTTCCCTAAATTTTAACTGATTTCTGAGGGGAAAAAATGAAAATATTGCCCAGAATCAACTTTAAAATGAGCTGGACAGGGTAGTCTTTCCCAGTTCATATTTCCCTAAATTTTAACCAATTTCTGAAGGAAAAAAATGAAAGTATTGACCACAAACAACTTTAAAATGAGCTATACATGGCTGATTCAAACTTATCAAATATTTAAATTTGTGAGGAGCATCACCAGTGACCTGGAAAAATTCAAATTATAACAGCTTTAATCCCTTCCCCAGCTCATATTTCCCTAAATTTTAACCAATTTCTGAGGGGAAAAAATGAAAATATTGCCCACAAACCCCTTTAAAATGAGCTGGGCAGGGCTGATTCAAACTTATCAAATATTTAAATTTGTGAGGAACATCGACACTGACCTGGAATAATTCAAATTATAACAGCTTTAATCCCTTCTCAGCTCATATTTCCCTAATTTTTAACCAATTTCTGAGGGGAAAAAATGAAAATATTGCCCACAAACCCCTTTAAAATGAGCTGGACTTACCGACCTTGACTCTTTCTGCCTGGCAGGAATATCCTGGGATTATTTTCCCGGGATTTTGCTGCGGGATAACTCCCGAGGATGCTCCCGGAGTTTTTCTAAAATTGGCTTTTTTCAAACCTCGCCCGAGGGAGGGACCGAAAGTGGCCGATAACGGCTGGGCTGGGCTGAAAATCAGCCCGAAAAAAGGGAAAAAATTCGGATTTCTTCTCCCTCCCCTTTCCCGGAAAGAAATTCAAGGCTGAGGGAGATGAATTTTAACCTTTTCAGCGCTGATTTTATCGCTCAAAACCTCCGGGTTTTGCAGAGAATTTTTTTTTTTTTAGGTAGTTTGCTTCTCGTTAATATTTGTATTTGATCAGGAATTAATTTTGGCGTTAATTAAGGTTTTGTTCACGAGTTTTAGAATATTTCCAGGGGAAAATAGAAAGAAATTTCGGGGTATAGCCCCATTGAAAAGCTGCCACGTGGTGGAAATTCCTAAAAAAAAAAAAGGAATTTCGTGCTCTGCCAGCTCAGGAATTTGGGGAATTTCAAATCCCGATTTTGGGATATTTCCAATCCCAAATTTGGGATAATTTCACCTCCCGACCCTCATCCAGAAATGGATTTCCGGGGATTTTTAGGTGCTGAAAATCTCGAGAGGAAATGGTGAATCACCCCCGAGTCATGAGCTGAGCAAATTTTCCACTCCAAAATTTCACCCCAGCCAGGGGAAAGATTCATTTGCCTCTTTTATGACTAAAAAAAAAAAAAAAATGCCTTTTTTATGACTAAAACTTCCTTTTTGAGCCACCAAAAACTCCCCGAGAAACCGCAGCTTTTTTAAAACTAAAAAGTTCAAGTGGCTGAAAAATCAAATTAAAATTTATTCAAGCTTTGATGGGTTTTTTAAGGTCTAAATTGAAGGAAAAAATTAGGTTTTAAAATTGTTTAAAGCAGAAACAGAGCAGGGGTTGGGGCTCAGGTGACAGCGATTTTTCCAGCTTTCAAATAAAGTAAAATATTGAAAATAAATTTGGGATTTTAGGTAATTTTAGGTAAAACAGCCCCGAAGGGGAGGATTTAAACAGGCACTGATGCAATCAAGTCACTGATTAATTAAGTTTGTCCTTGAGGGGTTTCACACCTTAAATTTAGCCCTCTTAATTAACAATATATTTTCAAAAATTCTGATTTATACCTGAGTTTTGTGGCCGGCACGATTCATCTGGAATTTTAGGCGAATTTTGGGAATTTTGCCCCAAAAAATGCCATCCAAACCTTGGGTAAATAAAAGATAAGAAATCGAAAAGAAAAAAAAAAAACGTTGTGCAACTGCTCCTTTGGTTGTGAAGTGTTGTGAAAGAGGGAGGAAAACCAAAGGTGAGCAATTAAAATGACAAAAAAAGCGAATTTCCCTGCAAATCTCCCTAAATCCCCGCAGGAATTTGGGATAAGGAAACACTTCCACCACCCTGAATGTTCCTGGTTTGTGTTTGTTTTTATTTTAGGAGGAAAAATTTGGCTTTTTTGGGGGTTTTCCCACAATAGTTGAGGCAGTTTAACCAAATAAAACAAGAATTTTTATTTAAAAAGTGGGATCAATCAATCCCTCAGCTCGCGTTTATGGGGTGAAATCCTGGAAAAATGGAATTCCAGAGCGGTCTGGGATGGAAAAAAAACTAAAAATTCATCCCATTCCACGGCCAGCGACATCTTCCACAATGCCAGGTTTGTCCAAGCTGCCACGGATTCTCTGGGAATTCCATCCCGGGGAAGGATTCATTCCCAAAATCGCGATTTATTCCCAAAACTCCTGTGTGAGCCTGCAGCCATTCCCCCTTCTCCTGTCCCTCCAGGCCTTTGGGAACATTCCCCATCCATCTTTCTCGCCCGGTTCACAATTCAACCACCCCGAAGCTTTCATTTTCCAGGCGGGACAATCGCAATAATCTCAGAATTTGCCGGGAAGAGATAAAAATTCCCGGACGCTGCTCAGGCCCCTCCCGCCGGCACCGCCTCCCGCCCCCCCTCAGCCGCCTCGCCGCCCCCTCAGCGCTGCGCCCCCGGGGGTCCCCGCGGTCCCCTCAGCGCCGTGCTCACCCTACAGCCGCTCCATGGGCTCCGGGCAGGGGGTCGGGGAGGGGAAGGAGCCCCTACACCCCCCGAGGGCTCCGCGCCTCCATTTTAGCGGGGTCCGGGCCGCCGCTTCCCCTCACGGCCAACATGGCGGCGGGGCCATAGAGCGGAGAGGGATGTGCGGCTGGAAGGGACGTGGTGGGGCAGTAGGTGTGTGGCGCTCCCTAGCGGGTTGGAGGACCAGGGCGGTGCGTCCTCTCAGCCCTCGTGGAAAACATTGAAATAAAAAATAAATTAAAAGAAATAAAATAAATAAATAAATAAAATTAATTTATATAAATTATATAAAAGTGTATCAATTTATATAAACTCTTAAACTTAGTGTGCGTCCTCTCAGCCCTCGGGGAAAGCATTGAAATAAAAATAAATAAAAATAAATAAAAATCAAACTGAAAACTAACTAAATAAAGTATATAAACGTATATAAACTATTAAACTTGTATAAACTTCAATACTTTATTTATTTATAAATCGAAATAAAAATAAATATAAATAAATCATTTAAAATTTTAACTTGGAAAAATATTTTTTCAAAAACAACAATAAAGGCATAAAATAATACTAAACTACAAATACACAATACATATTATGTATTATATAATACCTTATGCAATATAACAACTTCTAATAAATAAAACCAATAATTAGTGATAAACATTAATGAAAATAACAAGAAATGCCTGGAAAAACAGAACACTATCTCATTTCAATTCATATTCATTTAAAACCCCACACTTTCCTGCTCCAGTCACCCTGCCTTGTCACAGGCGCGGAGTGAATTCTTTCCAGAGCTCCCTTCCAAGCTGGGAATGTTTTCCACGCGTTTGGAAAATTCCGAATTCATTTCAGCACGGGGGCAGCGCTTGGGAACCGCTGGGAGCCGACAGCAAAATCCCCTCAGGTGGGCTGGGTTTGTGGCCGGCTGCGCTGCTCGGAGAGAAATAATTAGAATATTTTGAGGAGTAATTGGAATATTTTTAGAAATAATTAGAATATTTGGTGAATACTTGGAATATTTTGAGGAGTAATTAGAATATTTGGTGAATAATTGGAATATTTTGAGGAGTAATTGGAATGTTTTGAGGAGTAATTAGAATGTTTTGAGGAGTAATTAGAATGTTTTGAGGAGTAATTAGAATGTTTTGAGGAACAATTAGGATGTTTTGCCTAGTGATGCGTTTGGGCCGGGGGAAGGAGCCGCGCGCCGGGAGCGGATCCAAATTCCTGGAAAAAGGAATTTGAATCCGCGGCCGCCCCGCTGTGCGCTGATAAGAGCAATGAGCAAACTGCATGCTCAGAGCCCGGATAGCTCAGTCGGTAGAGCATCAGACTTTTAATCTGAGGGTCCAGGGTTCAAGTCCCTGTTCGGGCGTTACAGTTTTTGTTCATTTTTTTACGGCCGCATTTTTTTTTTTTTTCCCCAAAAAACACTTTACAACACCCGCGGCACGGCCGGAGCTGCCTGCCGGAGGGTTCCGGCTGCGTCTGCGGGGAATCCTGGCAGGAAATAAAAAAAAGGAAATTTAAAAAAAATTTAATACGTATAAAAACACAGCCGCCCGAACAGGGACTTGAACCCTGGACCCTCAGATTAAAAGTCTGATGCTCTACCGACTGAGCTATCCGGGCTCTGCTGGCAATGTTGGTGCTGCAGGTATATCCCCGTGCACAGGAACTGCGTGGCTGCCCGGACTTCCCGGCCTGTGACCCTGCCTGCACCCCCACTGCCTGCACCCCCACCGGCACCCCACTATCTGCACCCCCTGACTGACCCCTTCTGCCTGCACCCCGATCTGCACCCCACTGCCCCGCCCCACTGCCTGCACCCCCTGACTGACTGCAGCGTCCCGGGGGTCCCGTGGGGCAGCCGGAGCGTGCTGGGGACACTGGGGGGCACTGGGGGACACCGAGGGACACGGCGGGGGATCAGCTCGGGCTCCGTGCAATGCGGAGGGACACCGGGAACACCCCGGGGATGTTCACCGGGGGACACCAGCCGGGGCTCTGTGCAATCAGGAACACCCCGGGGACATTCAGGGGGACACCGGGGGACACCAGCTGGGGCACTGTGCAATGAGGAGGGACATCGGGAACACCCTGGGGATGTTCAGGGGGACACCAAGGGACACCAGCCGGGACTCTGTGCAATGAGGAACATCTCGGGGACATTCAGGGGGACACCGGGGGACACCAGCTGGGGCTCTGTGCAATGAGGAGGGACACCGGGAACACTCCGGAGATGCTCAGGGGGACACCAAGGGGCACCAGCCAGGGCTCTGTGCAATGAGGAACATCTCGGGGACATTCAGGGGGACACCGGGGGACACCAGCTGGGGCACTGTGCAATGAGGAGGGACATCGGGAACACCCTGGGGATGTTCAGGGGGACACCGGGGGACACCGGCCGGGGCTCTATGTAATGAGGAACATCCCGAGGACATTCAGGGGGACAGCGGGGGACACCAGCTCGGGCTCTGAGCAATGAGGACGGACATCGGGAACACCCTGGGGATGTTCAGGGGCACACCGGCCGGGACTCTGTGTATACATAGAGGAACATCTCGGGGGGACACCAGCTGGGGCACTGTGCAATGAGGAGGGACATCGGGAACACCCTGGGGATGTTCAGGGGGACACCAAGGGACATCAGCCGGGGCTCTGTGCAATGAGGAACATCCTGGAGACGTTCAGGGGGACACCGGGGGACACCAGCTGGGGCACTATGTAATGAGGAACATCTCGGGGACATTCAGGGGGACACCGGGGGACACCAGCTCGGGCTCTGAGCAATGAGGACGGACATCGGGAACACCCTGGGGATGTTCAGGGGCACACCGGCCGGGACTCTGTGTATACATAGAGGAACATCTCGGGGGGACACCGGGGGACAGCGGCCGGGCTCTGTGCAATGCGGAGCATCTCGGGGGGACACCGGGGGACAGCGGCCGGGCTCTGTGCAATGAGGAGCATCTCGGGGGGACACCGGGGGGCTCTGTGCAACGAGGAACATCTCGGGGGGACACCGGGGGACAGCGGCCGGGCTCTGTGCAATGAGGAGCATCTCGGGGGGACACCGGGGGACAGCGGCCGGGCTCTGTGCAATGCGGAGCATCACGGGGGGACACCGGGGGACAGCGGCCGGGCCCTGTGCAATGAGGAACATCTCGGGGGGACACCGGGGGACAGCGGCCGGGCCCTGTGCAATGAGGAACATCTCGGGGGGACACCGGGGGACAGCGGCCGGGCTCTGTGCAATGCGGAACATCTCGGGGGGACACCGGGGGACAGCGGCCGGGCTCTGTGCAATGCGGAGCATCTCGGGGGGACACCGGGGGACAGCGGCCGGGCCCTGTGCAATGAGGAACATCTCGGGGGGACACCGGGGGACAGCGGCCGGGCCCTGTGCAATGAGGAACATCTCGGGGGGACACCGGGGGACAGCGGCCGGGCTCTGTGCAATGCGGAGCATCTCGGGGGGACACCGGGGGACAGCGGCCGGGCCCTGTGCAATGAGGAACATCTCGGGGGGACACCGGGGGACAGCGGCCGGGCCCTGTGCAATGAGGAACATCTCGGGGGGACACCGGGGGACAGCGGCCGGGCTCTGTGCAATGCGGAGCATCTCGGGGGGACACCGGGGGACAGCGGCCGGGCCCTGTGCAATGAGGAACATCTCGGGGGGACACCGGGGGACAGCGGCCGGGCCCTGTGCAATGAGGAACATCTCGGGGGGACACCGGGGGACAGCGGCCGGGCTCTGTGCAATGCGGAGCATCTCGGGGGGACACCGGGGGACAGCGGCCGGGCCCTGTGCAATGAGGAACATCTCGGGGGGACACCGGGGGACAGCGGCCGGGCCCTGTGCAATGAGGAACATCTCGGGGGGACACCGGGGGACAGCGGCCGGGCTCTGTGCAATGCGGAGCATCTCGGGGGGACACCGGGGGACAGCGGCCGGGCCCTGTGCAATGAGGAACATCTCGGGGGGACACCGGGGGACAGCGGCCGGGCCCTGTGCAATGAGGAACATCTCGGGGGGACACCGGGGGACAGCGGCCGGGCTCTGTGCAATGCGGAGCATCTCGGGGGGACACCGGGGGACAGCGGCCGGGCCCTGTGCAATGAGGAACATCTCGGGGGGACACCGGGGGACAGCGGCCGGGCCCTGTGCAATGAGGAACATCTCGGGGGGACACCGGGGGACAGCGGCCGGGCTCTGTGCAATGCGGAGCATCTCGGGGGGACACCGGGGGACAGCGGCCGGGCCCTGTGCAATGAGGAACATCTCGGGGGGACACCGGGGGACAGCGGCCGGGCCCTGTGCAATGAGGAACATCTCGGGGGGACACCGGGGGACAGCGGCCGGGCTCTGTGCAATGCGGAGCATCTCGGGGGGACACCGGGGGACAGCGGCCGGGCCCTGTGCAATGAGGAACATCTCGGGGGGACACCGGGGGACAGCGGCCGGGCCCTGTGCAATGAGGAACATCTCGGGGGGACACCGGGGGACAGCGGCCGGGCTCTGTGCAATGCGGAGCATCTCGGGGGGACACCGGGGGACAGCGGCCGGGCCCTGTGCAATGAGGAACATCTCGGGGGGACACCGGGGGACAGCGGCCGGGCCCTGTGCAATGAGGAACATCTCGGGGGGACACCGGGGGACAGCGGCCGGGCTCTGTGCAATGCGGAGCATCTCGGGGGGACACCGGGGGACAGCGGCCGGGCCCTGTGCAATGAGGAACATCTCGGGGGGACACCGGGGGACAGCGGCCGGGCCCTGTGCAATGAGGAACATCTCGGGGGGACACCGGGGGACAGCGGCCGGGCTCTGTGCAATGCGGAGCATCTCGGGGGGACACCGGGGGACAGCGGCCGGGCCCTGTGCAATGAGGAACATCTCGGGGGGACACCGGGGGACACGGGGCTCTGTGCAATCAGGAACACCCCGGGGACATTCAGGGGGACACCGGGGGACACCAGCTGGGGCTCTGTGCAATGAGG